GGTCATTCATGACAGGCAATTTGCTAGTATTCATTATATTTTTCTTGGCCTGCATTTATTTTATTAGTAGACTTTGCTTGAATAAGGGTTTGTGATTCAGTTTTCATAGTCTTTTTCCCTGCCAAATCCTAAAAATGAGAGGTATTGTTATTACAATGTAACACCAGCGCAATATTTCCTTTTTATTTCGAACAGCTTGATAATGGATCCTTACAAACTGTGGCCAGTAGTGCCGAATTTCATCCAGAACCAGATCTTCAGGGCTCAACAAAAGTTACTTTAATTGGGTAAGAACTGTGAAACTGTCAGTTTACAACTAATTTTAGCACTAGGTTGACAAGTTATTCTGCATTGTTGTCATGTTTCTTTATAGTTCTGGAGAATTCACTTCAGGCCATGATCCTTTTGAGCATAACATACTTCTTCCTTGCTTCCCCAGCAAATAATGCATTTCGGTTACAGGAGTAAATATATAAATGGATAAAATGTGAATAGATGGCACTCAGGATTATATAGCATAGTCCCTGGTTTTGTAGAACCAAAAATACCTTGTTATTGTGCCTGGCAAAAGGCTGAAAGAGGAAAAAGTATAAGTTTTAAAACTGAATCTATATGCCAGGTGATCTTCAAAGATGAACTATAATGTGTTCAGCATGTAATTTTAAAATGAATGGATCTTTCTTAGGCTTGTCTTTGTATGTCATGTTTAAATAGCATTAATAATTGATGCTGAAAAGGTCAGGTTTTGTATTTTGAAGAAAAATATATTACCATTATTCATTTTCATAAATACATTTTATGTTTCTTTTAAAACTATGTAGATTGCCTCTTAGTTCCTGGGATATAAAGTCTAGAAAGCCATGTAACTGTACCAAATCTCAGTGTCTGAAATTGTAAGTAACTAACAAACCAGCATTTATTATGAAATACTAGTGAAGTGCCCATCAAAAATGACGGGGGGAGCAGGCAGGACAGAGCGCCACGTGCCACTACTGCATGCTGCCACCGCCTCCCAGGGGCAGGGTGGAAGCTTGCACGCAGAGGCCATCGCCACCAGCCACTGGCCTGCATTGCCACCGTTTCCCATCTGGCCACACGCCACCCTCTCTGCCCACTCCAGGTCCAGCCCTGCTCCACCCCACCCCACAACCTCCCTTCCCCCAGCTCGCGGCCCACTGCCCCACACTGCTGCTGCTCCGCATCCGGCTATGCGCCACCCCCGCTGCCTGCTGCACGTCCAGCCCTGTGACACAACCCCCCTCCTCCTGCATCCAGCTGTCTCTCTGTATCTGTCTGTGCGGAACACTCTGATTGGTTGTTTCAGTAAGCATTGTGATTAGCTGCCAAGAGAGCCAATCAGAGTGTTCCAAGAGTGTTACAGACAGACAGACAGACACAAAAACAGACAGACTAAGCCCTTTATATATATATAAATGAAGTAAATGTGTTTTAGTACCAGCTAATAAGTTAGTGAACACCAACTATGTGTGTCCCAAACCAAGTACACCTTCCCCCAAATACATAAGTAAGACCTTGGTCTAAAACCAGAGAGGATTAAATCTTCAGTTGATATAAATTGGTGCAAATTGTTTTTGGCCATTGGAACTATACCAGCTTGCTAGGATCTGCCCTAGGAATGTATGTGGATACATTAGATTAAAAGAAACAGAGAATACAACAATATTGCTTGTAAGATATGATGTAAGAATTAGGAAATAGTGTAAAATTCTATTTGCTACTCCATCCACACAAAAAGAAACATCTACGGTCTCTGAGGCAGTTTGGTGATGTCATTACAGTTTTCTCATGTATTATAAAATTGAGTAAGAGGGAGAAATAAGTGTCAAATGTACAGTGTGTGTTAGAGAGAGATGTATATTTTTGTAAAGATTAAAATATTCTGTCTTGAAAGCTAATTTTTACATTTTATATGTTGCTTTATGTGTTGATCACAGATACTGTGATTGCTTTGCCAATGGTGATTTTTGCAGCAACTGCAACTGCAACAATTGTTACAACAATCCACTTCATGAAACTGAGCGATTTAAAGCAATTAAGGTAATAAAAGTAGTGTGTTATCTAGGTCAAACAGGAAAATATGGCAGTATTTTTTTCATTTTTCAAATTCCATTGTTAAAAATGTATTCTTTTAAAGAAAATTTGACTGTTACCTGGGTATTTACATATAAAAAGCTTGTCATTGAGAATTTTCATTCACTTTAGAGGACTTTCAATCTGTCTGGGACCAGAACCAGTATGACTGCATTTTCTCACATACAGCACACGCCCAAATAAAACATTGTTTTTTTAAAAAGCAGAAAGCAGGCAGGGAAAAGATTTTTCCAGAATCAAGGCCTGCTGGTGTGACACTAAGTCCTCCAGAAAACAGTGTGTCCAGGAAGTGTAGCATGTCAGGAAACAGTCTGAGTGAAGCAGCAGGAACTTCCTGGTGTGATACAAGTCAAAAGAAACTGATACCCAAATTGCTGTCCACCTTGAAAGATCCTCAACATCTCAGAGGAAATAGTACCTCAGGGATTTTTTACTATGTTGTTCTTTTTGTTGGTCTAGTGCTGCAGTGTAAAGGGATCTGAATGTCACACTGCTGAACCTGGTTCCATTGGACAGAAAGTTGCCTCCAGATATGAAAGCACTGGTTAACCTTTGAGTGGAAACAAATGCAGAGAAATAAAGGGGTAGTGCCTGTGCAATATGCAATATACTATATTTCAACTGTTTAGACAGTTATATTACCTAGCTAGTTTTTGTAAAATAAAATAATTCTGTTCTTCAAAAAGAGGTACTTGGATCTTGTAATATAGTTTTATTGGAGTGTCCCTAACATGGAACTATCAGGAACTCCCCAGTATCATTATCAGCACTGTTAGGAACAGTTTAATCAAAAAGAGTTTTCCATATATTATATAAAACTATGGCATACTTCTCAAATAAAGAGAAATTAATATGGCGCTTCCAGCAAACAGATCCATATTTAGTAAACTGTCTTGCATTTTTTGCTTACAAGGCTGAAGCAATCAGAGCTAAACATTCTTTATTGTTGATATGACCAATAAACTTTATCACTATATTTGTTTTTTACTGTGTTAATTGTGGATCTACGCACAACATTTTTATAGATTCATGATCTGATTTATCACCATATTTGTACTTGATTATGTTAATTCTAGGAGTAGGAATAATGCCTTTATAATGGTTGGCCCTATTTTATTATTATATTTGCATTTCTTTTTTTTTGTTCAAATTTATATTATGGTTGTATGTCTGTTATGTTGTTTTCAGGAGCATGGCTTTCATCCAGAATCCTTAATAAATTGAGACTGAATAAAACTATGGCATCTAATCCCTGGGGGAGCACTTTAAATGTCATGATGCTTTAAGGATATAGGCAGAGAAGTTTAGCTTCTCTAGCAGGTGCCTGCTTCATATTTTATCCTGTAACATATGTTTGATTGTTTTTTCAACTTACTGGATTTCTGTGACCATGTGAAAGGAGACAATTTTCTGGTCATTAGTGTTGTAGAAATTTGATAATTCCTGGCATTGAATTCCAGTTTCTTTTTACCTGGAATGTTATAGTTACAGTGAGATTGCACAATGAATGATCTTCAGGGTCTACTGATTGAGCCTTGTTACATTACCATTTTTTTTCCTTTTTGGGGGGGGGGGGTTGTTTTTTAAATAATGCAGTATAACATTCTAACCTTAAGTGGACTGTAGACAGCTGGGGCTACCAGTATTTCATAAGAGGGGCATTATTGCGGGTTCCCTTGGTAGAACCCAGTCAGCTCAGAACTATTTGACTTCCTATCATCATCCAACCATATACTAGAATATAAAACCAAACCCAAATAAGTGGATCTCTTGGAAATACCTCCAAGACTGAGAGTCCAAGTAAATATGGTGCTTCTTTAAACACTAAATTATAATACTCCCTTTGAATTTCTTCAGTAGTACTGCTGCTTTCTTTTTAGGCCTGTCTTGATAGGAACCCAGAAGCTTTCCTCCCAAAGATTGGGAAAGGGAAAACAGGAGATATCAAGCCTCGTCATAATAAAGGATGTAATTGCAAGCGCTCAGGGTGCCTTAAGAATTATTGTGAGTGTTTTGAGGTTAGTCAAGTGATATTTCCTAGTACTACTTGATTTTTTTTTTTTTTAATCAGAAAAGGATATGTTTTAATCTACTTGTTTCTGTGTAAAAATACTAGGCATTGAAAATAAGTTGTTTTTTTCCCCTCAAATTGTTCATTATAACTTAAAGAACAGATTTTCTTTCCTGCTTTAGCTGAGGCTGATCAGCAAGAATTTTTCTATTCCTAAAGTGGGAGAGAGCTTCTTAACAAGTTGCTGTGCCAAATGTAATCACTGGTCCATAGGAGAAGGGGAAATGCCATCATTTCTCAGAACCTTCTGAATTCAGTGAAAAGATTCTATTGGCTTCTATGCATTTTAAATCAAGCTTCAAGTGCAAATTTCACCCTTCTGAGCAGCTTGGTAGTTTGTGTGGCATTTCCCACCTGACCCAACAAAGGCATCCATGTGTTGGCCTCCATGTTAAGTGAGGTAAATGTAGCCAAACTGGGGAGAAGGAATGAATGAGTACACATCTGGGATCAGGGAAAATAGACATAATTTCCCTGACTTTGATCCTATAGAGAATTTCCATAGTCTTCCTCTGGGAGCCTTTAGAATTAGTACAGGCATGGCGAGTCCTGATAGCATGGCTGTAATGGATGTTGTTATACATATGCTTGGCAATTTATCAATTCTGTATTTCTCTAAATGTTAATATTTCTCATTTTGCAGGCTAAAATTATGTGTTCCTCTATTTGCAAATGCATTGGTTGCAAAAATTATGAAGAAAGCCCAGACAGAAAAACACTAATGAACATGCCAGACTACACTGATATTAGAAATAATGAAGAAGACAGCCCTATGTCAACATCTGCATTTGAAATGTTATCAGAATCCAGGAAAGATGGGTGAATATTTGGAATATGTTAAATTCATCTAAGTGCCCCACTATGCTTTTATAATGTACTCTTCGCCATGTATGTAAAAAGCAGTAATTTATATTGACCAGTGGTTTGTGTAATAGGTGTCTGTTGATCTGCAAGTAATGTTAATTTTATAGAATCAAGAAATGAAAAGGTTGATTACTTAAAACAAACCTTTCAGATATACATTGTGCATACCTTGGGAAATAAATATTATTCCTTCTGCAGAACTGCAATTTCTTTTCTGTTGATAGCAAGCCTGTTCCTTGTCCTTGTCTTCTTCCCTGCCCTATTCATAGATTCATAAATTCATAGGCGCTAGGGTCAGAAGGGACCTCAATAGATCATTGAGTCCGACCCCCTGCCTGGGCAGGAAAGAGTGCTGGGGTCAGATGACCCCAGCCAGACACCTATGCACCCTTCTCTTAAAGACCCGCAAGGTAGGAGAGAGCACCACCTCCCTTGGAAGCCCATTCCAAATTCTGGCCACCCTTCCTGTGAAGAAGTTTTTCCTGATATCTAGCCTAAATCTGCTCTCTGTCAGTTTGTGACCATTGTTCCTTGTCACCCCAAGAGGCGCCCTGGTGAACAGACCATCTCTGATCCCTTGCTGCATCCCCCTAACGAATTTGTAGGCAGCCACAAGATCACCTCTCAGCCTTCTCTTGCGGAGGCTGAAGAGGTCCAGGTCCCTCAGTCTCTCCTCATAGGGCTTGTCCTGTAAGCCCCTGACCATACGAGTGGCCTTCCTCTGGACCCTCTTGAGTCTATCCACATCCTTCTTGAAGTACAGTGCCCAAAACTGGATACAGTACTCCAACGGCAGTCTGACCAATGCCTTATAGAGGGCAAGTATCACCTTCTTGGTTCTATTTGTCATGCATCTGCTGATGCATGATAAAGTGCGGTTAGCTTTGCTGATGATTTTGTCACACTGATGACTCATGTTCATCTAAGAGTCCACTATGACTCCAAGATCCCTTTCTGCTTCTGTGCTGCTGAGAAGGTCACTTCCCAGCCAGTAGGTGTGCTGGATATTTCTGCGTCCTACGTGCAGCACTCTGCACTTGTCCTTGTTGTACTATCTTGCTTAACTACTTCTTCCAGTGCCCCCTCTCCTTTCTTTCACTTTTTTTCATTTAGCCAATCCCCTTCTAATATTATGCTGGCCAAAGAAAAAAAAATTTTTTTAAATGTGGTGGCAGCAACACAATGGTTGTTGGTCACCACATTGTTGATCCTACTTGTATGTTATTGTGGTGAGGTGGGCATCCCTTGGTCGCTGCAGCTAGCTTCCCACCTGCCTCTGGGCATGCTGCCCGCCTGTCTCACCCACCATGCCTTGTTGGTAATTAATGAAGTTGTTAATTAAGGTGGGAGGCTGCCAATTTTTGCACAGCAGCTCAAGCCTTGCAGATGGCATCTCAGGTAGTTAGCTAAACTGTCACCTTCGCCCATTAGCTGTGGCCCCCAACTGTGGGGACCTTTGGCTTCCACAAGCCCTGGCCCCATCTCAGGCCCAGTCAGGACCCAAAGCTTCTGCACTCACTGTGGGCATCCCTCATGGTGGGCCCCTGGCCCTTCTGACCCTTAGGCCCTGGCCCCAGCATTAACCTGTTGAGTCCCTCAGGGGGGTCTTCACCTCCTGCCTGCACTTCTGGAGTGGGGTTCCCCATTCCCGGCTCAGGTGCTCCTGGGAGCATGCCTGGCCCTGCGGGGTCTCTCCCCAGCTGGCTCAGGCACTTTCAGAAGCTCACCAAGCCTATATTCCTCCTTGTGGTGTATGCAAAAGGTAACATCAAAACTGGTGCTCCAGGGTCTCACAGGGACTCTCACTCCTCCCCCCCCCCCCGAGCCACAGGCCATTGT